AAGGCTGAGAGAGAGAGAGAGAGAGAGAGAGAGAGAGAGAGAGAGAGAGAGAGAGAGAGAGAGAGAGAATTCAGGCCACCTGAGCCTGATGACCAGGATACATGCCACCCAGATCAAAGGAGGGGCCTATTTTTAGAATTTGGAATGTGGGCCCGCAAACTTTTCTATCTTCAGCCAAACGGAGATCGTGATGGATGGCTCAGACTAAACTGGGTCTTTGTCAGTAGCTCTTTTATTTTTAGGGAGGGGATGGATAAAAGGAGAAGGTTCTAGAGCCCAGTTTCTGAAAACCAGGGACCCAGAATCACAATGTTTCCATCTGGGCTTCGGAGGCTTTCTTAGTCAGGATGACAAAGTCTAGAATTCAGGGCAGATGCATCTGGGCTGGGGCTCAAGAGCAGTTCTTACGCAGCTTGCCCACCTTGCCGTGAACCTCCAACCTGGATGAGTTACCCAGCTTCTAGCCACGTAGGGACCCCATTGTGACGGGGGGGGAAGAGACGGTATGAGGGATGTGAGGAAGCTTAAGGTCCAGGGAAGCCATGTTACGTAAAGATCATACAACATGGCTCTAACCAACACATCACAGCAAAACTCCTTTGAGAAAGGACCTACATTAGCAGTTATTTTTAGGGCTGCTACTCCCAGCGTGCCCACAGCCTGGATGAGACCACATCGTTCACCAGCAAGACATTTGAAGGGTACCAGGACCCAGCCCCCACAGCCTGATTGTGTCCTCCCCCATGACTCCCAAGTTGTCTTGCCTTACCCTCTACTAAGCCACAGAGTGGTCCACCGTGCTACTCTGTTTGGTGGCACTTTAATCTTTGATCTGATCCCCAAGGGTCAGATCCTACAGCTGAGACTCTAGTTCCCGGCAGAACTGAAGAGCATTTCCCAGATCAGCACAAATGCCCCAAAGAGCAGACCCTGCAATGGCTGCACGGAGACCCAGGGTCAACACAGCTGACTCTGTTGGGCTCACAAAGAAAGGCCCCAAATTGCAAGGGCTCAGATTTCAATGCAGGAGAATCTCACAGTGGCCTGCTGAAATGAGCCCTCCTCCTCCTAAGCCAGGCTCACATTCCTGTTAGCCCCTTCCACACACACTATCCTCCACGTCTTTCTCAGCCAGAGACACTTGCCTGGACCCAGAAAGACCGGTGAAGTCGTAAGCTCCAGGGTAGGGCCTTAGCTACTGCACAGACGGCTGTCTTCTCTACCTTGTGCCTCCTTGAAGAGCACAGGCCCACGTCCTTTTCATGACTCATGACTTCTGGCCTCTTTCCAAATGAAATGCAAAGAACGCAGGTGATTTCTGGGGTCCCTCCCTGGCAGCTCGTTCCCTGATCCACTCCAGAGCGGAGGTACTGGCCATGTGGTCAGTGCTGCCAGGGTGCCACAGACAGCATGCAGCCTGGTGAGGAAGGATGGGCTCTGTAATGTGTGGGTGGGTGATCCTTGAAGGGGGCCCTTGCATCCCGCCTCAGGTGGAGGTCTGATAAATTTTCAGAATGTGTTGGAAAAAGGAGGTTCAGAATGTGTGTGTGTGTGTGTGTGTGTGTGTTGTACACAGTCATAGGTGGACAGATAGTCTGCCCAATCTTGTCTCTAATCCGAGAGCATATCTGGAGATTATGCACTTCTATTCAGCTTTCGGAGCAGATTCTAGACCTGACTGTAGAACCATCAAGCTCGGGAGAAGTAGAGGGAACTCTGGCATGCTGAGTTCACTGACACTCCACATCTCCAGACCTAGCTCCTCAGCTGTAAAGAAGAGTGACTCTTTCCTCTCTGGGGACAGGAGGTACACCAGGTCAGAGTTCAGGAGATGGACCAGGTCTGCACACAGGAGATGGACCATTTGTTCCTGCCTATCTATAGGTGTGCATTGTATTTTTTTCACTGCCTCAACCCCCCCTCCCAGTTGTGAGCACCCCAGTAACTACTGACCAGGTGAATCAGACAGATAAGACCAGGCCCTATGATAAATTGCCCTTCCCAGCTTCCCCCAACTCTGCCCTGCTGACATTCCAAGGCACCAGGGGCATCCTTCTGGCCTCTCCTTTTGTGCTCCTCCCCTCCCTGACAGGTCCGTGGTTCCTGCCTCCGACCTGCATGGCTGAGCCTGTTCCTTTAGTGCTCCTCCCAGTGAGCCCTCTCTAGGTAGGTCACTTCACCCGGGCCTGCTCCCCAGCTCCTGTCAAGTGCACATCAGGAGTCTGAGCAGCTCCGTGGGCGGGTGAGGCCTGAGTGAGTTAGCATGCACCGGCGCTGGGAACGGTGCAGACGGCGGTGCCTTCGCAGGGTTGGTGGAGTGTGAGGAGCAGCAGGCGGTGCTCAGTGAACAGTGGCCATCTATGTCGTCAGCAAGCTGTGCCTATCAGCAGAGGCTGCTTCCCAAGGCTGCTGGGGACACCTCACCCCCGAGATGGATGGCTGAGTCAGAAGCTGGGTCCTCAAGGAACCGTGTCTGTCAAGAGGGAGCCCTGGTCTCCCCAGCAGGCTTCTCCTTCGTTTCTTGTTCCCTGAGATGCCCTGTAACGCAGAGTCCATGGCAGGAAGGGATGAGGCACAGGACTCAGCAGCTTGCTTTCCTGGGACAGGTCCCAGTGGCCAGGACAACAGCTCGCCCAGACCCTTAGGCCTCTCGGAGCCCAGCAGGACACAGACCCAGGAACTGAGTCAGCAAAGAAAAGAGATCTTTCTTTGTCCATGAGACTCTGTCCCCATGAGGTCTGGTAGTGAAGCCCAAAACAGCTCTCTGCTTGAAATCTTAGCTATAACCTAGTGTCTTCCTCCAGCTGAATGGTCAGATCTGGGGCATGCCAAAGACTCTCAGGGGCCTTAGGTGGCTGACTCTTCTTCATCGGTTGGAGACAGAGTTGGCCCTCTGTATCCATGGACTCAACCAGCCTTGGGTGGCATGTGAGAGACTCTGGCCTGCTGTGATGTGTCTGTACTTAGTGTGTACAGAACGTCACCATTAGCCCTTAAGTATAAGGCATGGTTACCTAAGTGGCATCTGCATGGTATTTGGTATTGAGAGTAGCTAAAGATGACTTTGAAGAGATGGACTGTGGGTATAGACTAGATGTGAAGACTGCACCACTCTGTAGAAGGCACTGGAGTAGCCCCTGGCTCTAGGTGTGTGTGAGGAGGGTGTGTGTGTGTGTGTGTGTGTGTGTGTGTGTGTGTGTGTGTGTGTGTGTGTGTGTGTCCCAAGACCCATTCCTATGGGCTTCAAGAGATGCCCATGCTCTTGCCAGGCCACATGAGGGACAGCAGGCAAGCTGTGGCTGTCTGTCAGCACCCCTGCTCCACTGCTGGAAAGAGGCTCTGCGTGGACCCTGAAGGTTGGTCCACCGTGGAACTTTACCCTACATATCACCACGTACCCTGACAGCACCCTGGCTGCAGGCTCTCCCTCCAAGCAAAATGAAGGAATTCTTCAAAATGGGAGCACCATCCAGCTGGGCCTGCACAGAGCGGCTTTTATATCCAGGCCAAAAACTAGGTCGCTGCTTTGAGAGCTGCTGCAGGGGCCAGGCCCCGGCCTCCACATGGCAGCCCCGGCCTCCACACGGCAGCCCCTGCCTCCACACGGCAACCCCTGCCTCCCGCTCCCAAGGACGTGCGCACGGCAGAGTGAGTGTCAGTCTAGGTGGTGTTGCAAGGTGAGGTGCAGGTGGATACAGGGAGCTCAAGAGGCCTGTGGAGCTTCTGCCCGTAGCTGCTACCTTTCAGACCCAGCCTGGTTTCTCTTTGCCATTTGGATCTATTTTGTAGCTTAGGTTTCCTCACAAAGTCCAGGCACTTCAGTCTTCTCTGTTTCTTCTCTTTTGAACACTGGACTTGTTCCTCTGAGGTGCATACAGAGAGGCCTCTAGGTTATGGGGTGTCAGCCACAGCCAAAGGGGACTGGGTGTATGGGGCCCGGGATGGTCTCAGCCTCAGGGTCCCTGCCAGGGCCTCTGTGGCCTCTTTCCTGACCCTGAGTAGCTGCTATGGGTGTCTCCCCAGACCCTCAGGAAGAAGCGTCATGGAGCCCATGGTGCCTACAAATGCCAGCCATGAAATGCTCTTTACAGATGATCAAATCAGTTAAGTCTGATCAGGCCTTTCCATGGAATTGCTAGGAGTGCTTGTTAAATAACACAGGGTCATAGTAAAAAAATTAGAAATCTATGAATGAAGCATTGGACTTTTCAACAAATGCAGAGATAGAAAGAGACGTCAGAGACAAATCTGCAAGTGGGCCTAATTAAACAAACTTCAAAAGAAAAACTACTTCATGGGTCAGTTGGGGGGGAGTCAGAAGCTACCTCATTATCTCACGACACTAGGACTCAATATTGACTGTGTTAGCTGTGACACAGGAGCCTCAGGCTCAGGAGACACATGCTGAAGCACAGATGACACAGTGTCTGGCGCTGCCTCACAGGGTGCAGGACATGGGGGGGGGGGGCGGGCGTGTGCACAGATGAGTGAGGACACTGGTGGACTCTGGGGGATGGGACAGAGACGGTCTGTGAGAACTGCCTGCTAACGTCTAGAAGGGGAAGGAGGAAGAGATGAGGATGTGGGGGACAAAGGGAAGGGGGTTAAAGGGGACGGAAGGACAAGATGGAGGAGGAGGGGGCAGAAGAAGGAAGAGGAGAAAGGGAAGAAGATTTGGAGAGGAAGAGGAGGAGGAGTAAAAGGGAGGAAGAGAAATAGGAAAAAGAGAGGAAAGAAAGGGAGAAGGGGAGGAAGAAGCGAGACCCTAGAAACTGCCATGGTAATTGCTAGAGCTGGCCTGGTTCAGGTCCAACATGCCTGCAGAGCATGGCCACCACAGTCTCCATAGCGGCAGCCTTGCCCTGGCTCCCGGTATCCCCAGTGCCCTACTTAGTATGGTAAGCGCAACCTGGGGGACGTGTGTGATGCTTCTCTGCCTTCCATGGGAGAATACGCACTGTGGAGAGACGGTCTCCACAGAGGGACAGAGGGACACTCACCATGGAGAGACAGCCCTTCTGCTCCCGGATGACGGCCCCGAAGCCCAGGAAGCCAGTTGTCATGACAAGAGCACCAGCAAAGATGAGGATGTAGGCGGAGGCAGCGAATGTGCTGGAAGCCAAGATACTGAGGTAACCGCTCTTCTCCACCAGTGTCCAGATGCCCACAGCCGTGACAGCCACCCCACCTACCTGCAGAGACACAAGGGACCCTGGGTGGCACCCGAGGCTTTGCCAGCTGCCCCCTTCTGGTGCTCACCAGGCGCCATACCCTTTTCAGGTGCCTTGTCAATTAGTCTTCCAGAGGGCCTGAAGGAAGAGTTTCTCTGTTAGTTTATAAAGGAGCAAATGAAGGCTTCAGGCCCTTGGTGGACTTGCCAGGCCACACACATGCACACACACACACACACCCCAGGTGCGGACAGATTTCAAATCTAAGTCTGAGCCCAAATTTATGTTTCTTACTGACCACAGGTAAAGACCCTTTGCCTTCCCCATGCCTCTTTGGGTGCTCTCTTTCCCAGAGTGCTCCTTGGTGATGCTGTCTTTCCCAGAGTGCTCCTTGATCTCTCCCAAATTTCCCAGAAGGCCTTCCATGCTGGTTCATCTCACATCTGAACAGTGGGTGAGGAAACAGGCTCACTGTGGAAAGACGCCCTGCCTGAGGTCTTGTTTCTAGGAGGGACAGAGTGAGGGAGGAGAGATCCAGGAGGGATGGAGAGCTAGGATGTGTCCCCAGTGTCTGCTCCCTGGAAGATGCCCATGTTCCTCACACTCCTGCACAGGACTGGGAGGGACCTGAATTTCCTCCTTTGCTAACTAGAATATATTGGTTTGGTCCTGAGATGGGACTGGATAGGACCATGTTCACTCGCTGGCCTGAGAGCTGCTTCTGAGGAAGTGTCATGGATGGAGGCCAAGAGGTCAGCCTCCAGGGGTTATGAGACCAAAGAACCGTTTTGGTGGGTGTGATGCTTAAGAATACATTTTCTCTACTATTTCTAGGACTCTTAGTTGGGGTCTTCCTTGTGGATTTTTTGGGAGTTACCTGAACACCAGGTTTCTCCCTAAGCCCATAGTGACTCTCTCTATTAAGATTTCATTGCTCTGAACTGGCCTACTCTTGTAATCAGATTGATGAGTACCGCTACTATCACCATAGAACCCTCATCTAGTAATCGATGGAACCAGACGCAGAGATTCACAACCAAGAACCAAACCCAGCTCTGGGAATCCAGTCAGAGAGAGAGGGGTGGGAACATATGAGCAAGGGAGGCCAAGATCGTGATGGAGAAATCTACAGAGACTGCTGAACCAAGCGAGGGAAACTCTTGAGCTCTAAACTCACAGCAGCAGACTCCAGGGGCCTGAACTAGGCCCTCCACATGTGGGAGACAGTTGTGAAGCTTGGACTATCTGAGGGGCCCCTGGCAGTAGGACCACAATCCAAACCTGGTACATGAGCTAGCTTGTTGGACTCTGCCCTAACCTATTATGTCAGACTATGTCAACTCCTCACAGGAGCCCTTACTTGTGAGGAGGAGTGGACTGGGGGTGGGCTAGGAGAGAGGTGAGGGTGATGGGAGGAGGGTTGGGAGGGAGAAATGTGGTTGGAATGTGAAATGAAATAGAAAAGTGAAAGAAAACAGAAGAATACATTTAGACACCACGTGTGTACTCTAGGTGCCACATACGGAACACAAAGACCATTTGCCCAGGTCTCAGGAGCGCCTGAACAGTTCTGCTCAGATCCTGGGAAGGTCAACTTCTCCCTGGCCTTCCCAGGTCTCCATTTAAGAATGGACTCTACTCCAGAAGGGCAGTGGAGGCTTCCGTAACCGTCTTAGTGTGGTCACAGCCTGCTCCTGTCTCTCCCATCTCCGCCCACACCTGGGATGCTCATCCCTGTACCACAGTGACTCCCTGCGTGCTCACCTCCCCACCCTCTGTTCTGTGCAGTCACAGGCCTCAGTGGAGCAATTCTTGGGGTTCTTCCAAGCAACTAACACACACCAGGAACATGGATCATGTGATTGGCATGTACCCTGACAATTCCTTGTCTAAATATTCCAACCGTCCTGGGGAAGGCTATGTTATCTCTGCATAGCAGATGGGGAAGGAAACTGAGGCCTGCAGAGAAGAGCAGCAGGCCCAGGATGACCCCATTAGTTCCAGCACTGACTCGGGGCCAGGTCTTTTGAGGACAGAGGCAGGACTGTCCTCGGATCCCACGGAGTGGGTGTGTCCTCGGATCCCACGGAGTGGGTGTGTCCTCGGATCCCACGGAGTGGGTGTGTCCTCGGAGCCCACGGAGTGGGTGTGTCCTCGGATCCCACGGAGTGGGTGTGTCCTCGGAGCCCACGGAGTGGGTGTGTCCTCGGAGCCCACGGAGTGGGTGTGTCCTCGGAGCCCACGGAGTGGGTGTGTCCTCGGGTCCCACGGAGTGGGTGTGTCCTCGGGTCCCACGGAGTGGGTGTGTCCTCGGGTCCCACGGAGTGGGCGTGCCGGCTCCTCCGCTTCTGCTGTTCAAACAGATGATTCCTTCCAAGCACTCTCTTATCTTCACCGGTACCTCCAGGTGGGAGAAACCAGCGTAAGGGCGCCACGTAGGACCACAGCTGCGCTGCTAAGTGGAACTGGAGAGGCTAACATCCCCTCCATCATGCGATGCACCATTTCCCTCTCCCGGTTTTACCTCTTTAAACTTAGGGTGTATCTTTGGATGAATGGCCTCTTACACTGTACTGGGTAGCACGTTTTCTTATTGGAGCAAACACAAACATCAACAGCCCACAAATGATGCTTAGAGTTGGGAGTCCCAGGACACAACAGACTTTTAGAGTCCTTGGATGGAGGTCACCTATGCGCCGCATAGTTTCTATGAACAAAGGATTTTCTGAGTCTGGGTGGATGGAACCGGACAGCAGATGTAACTGACTGACTAATGAGTACCCCTGTTGGTCAGACTCCGCGGCCACTGGGAATTTTGAGTAAACTATGACCTCCACAATTCCCTTACATAACTGTCTTGCCTAGAAAGCTTGAGGGAGGGTCTCCATTTTGATTTTCTGGGAGATGGTCCTTTAGTCTCCTTGGCCCTCAGTTCTTCGTCTTTCAAGTTGACGGAGCCTCATTAGGTGGTGGCTTCCATCTAAAACTACTAGAGATCCCTTTAGTTACTTTCTTCCAAGGATCTTGTATTTTGAGGTCTTTGCCTAATAAATACGGTGCATTAACTAAGAAGTAACTAATTTTTCTATCTCCCTCCCTCCCTCTCTCTCTATCCTTCAAAACAAATTATGTAAAGGCATAGGATACTGCCAAGCAGAGATTTGGAACAATGTGACTATGGCGAGTTATAATGCTATCAAAAAGCTGGGAAAGAGTGTTTAATTGGTATAATTATCTGTATGGCAGTAGGCACACATTTTCTATTAGGCAGGTTAACTCTGAGCCCTGACTCTTTCCCAAACCAGGGAGTAACCTGAGCACCCACATCTGGGGCTCTCAGAAGGAAAGACTCAGACTGGTCTGGGGACATTTAATCTGTTGGAGCACAAGAAGCCACTCAGAATTGACTAAAAGAATCATTTAACACATAAAACAATGCATTTAGGCAGGACCATGAACAAGGCCCATCCAGAAAAGTCTCCAAGTTTTCTCCATGTCCTCAGAGTTGTGACTGCATAATCACCTGGGTAGCCATGAAAAACCAGGGCTGGAACCCAGGCTAATCTGCACCCCAGGCGGGGATATTTTATTAAGTTCCCAGATGTTCCTTTGAGAATCCCAGCACAGGTCCAAGCGTCCCATCCTTCTCTTCCCAGTAGGTGGCGCTGTGTGAAGCCCTCCAGAACACTGCTGGCCCCTTCCCTAGGAGCAGCTGCCCCAGGAGCTGTTGACTTAGTTTCAGGGCTAGAACAGAGCACTTTGCTCCAGCACTCACCCCAGGTCTTGCAAAGTAGCTGATCCTGCAGGGACACTGGGTCCCCAGCCACAACACAGGGTCGGGGAGAGATATGGAGGGACATGTATCCTGGACAAGGGCTAGAAGACAAGCTCAAGCTACCTCTGATGACCCGAAGAAAGCAGGAAGAATAGTAGGAATTAGTGGGTCTGGGACCCCAAGGTCCCCCTCCCCAGAGAGTTCCATGTAGTAGAGAAAGTAGTTACAGAGGTTACAGAGGGGTCAGTACTGTAGTTAGCCATGAAGGACAGAGCACGTTTTTGAGTCCTTCAGGGACGTTGATTTCTTGTGTGGGATTTGGTCACCTCTGAACAAGTAAAACTGGTCAGTGCTGGCTTACCAGAAGGTGTCACCGGAGGGCAGAAGTGGGCAAGACTGGGTCAAGTCCTTTTGATGGCACGATTAGCTGTGTGAAAGTTGAACATCTTTTTAAAGTTCTGGTGCCTTTATACGCAGATTGGGCCACAGGGTACGAGCTGTGGGGGTGGGGCGCTGACCCAGAACCCGCTTTCCTGGCTGTTGGCATCAAGTTGGTTCACAGGTAGGGTTTCTCTGCTGGAACACAGGAAGGACCATGGGGCCTCTAGGAAGGAGGCCTTGGGCAGAGTTCTCTGCCCTCTGTGCTGGACAGCCTGAGGCATGGAAAGGCAGGAAACACCCAGGGTGGTGTGTGTGTGTGTGTGTGTGAGAGAGAGAGAGAGAGAGAGAGAGAGAGAGAGAGAGAGAGAGAGAGAGAGAGAGGGAGGGAGGGAGGGAGGGAGGGAGGGAGGGAGGGAGGGAGGGAGGGAGGGAGGGAGGGAGGGAGGGAGGGAGGGAGGGAGTGCGCAGGGCTGCTTACCACCTGTTTTGTCTGGGGTTAGGTAGGAAGGGGGACCCACTCAGGAGTACGCCCCTCATTCATGAACGGCCCCTGGGTGGCCTCTTCAATGGCACTGTCACTCATGTACCCAGCAGCCCTTGCTGGTCCCACCTGCTGTCAGGCCGCCTCTCTATCCTCACTGTACCGTCCACCTTGGCCTCTGTCCCAGGTCATCCTCCAGCTCTTGCTCCACCCAGAAATGGAGCAGGCTACTCATTGACACCTTCCCCCAGGCCAGAGCCTCAGGCCCAGACTCTCTTGCATGGCTCGGGAGCCTTTAAATATCTACCCTCACTTTCCTTTCTCCACCCCCTGGCTTTAATGGCCACGGAGGAAGTGTTCACTCTTTTTTCACTGTTATTTTCT